CTAGAATATATTTATATTGTGCAATTTTCTAAACTCACATTGGTTTCTCATACAGCATCTCTGTATAGTATGTGTATTAGGGCTGAACGATATACCGTGTCATGGCGATAACCGCGGTATGCGCATGCGCGGTATTCACACCGCAGGGACGTGCGGTTTTATTCATTAAAAAAAAAAATGCTACCGCACTTTAGCACAGAATACAAAATAAAGATACCCTTATTACTTATCGAAACTGCACATACAATTTATCCGATTAAAGCTGAGACTCCACAGATTATTTAAGTATAGTATCTAAGCGATCCGATCTCGCAACAGGGGAAGCAAACACAGACATCACAACACGTACCTTTTACTGAGCTTTTACGGGAGATCGTCTCACCGTAGCTGTCAATCTGATCAAAAGACGTGTTCAATGGCATTAAAACGAGAAAGAAAAAACATGGCTGAATCGGTTGATTCATAGGTTGATAATGTATCTGTGGCTTTGAAGCAATTGTTTATAATCCATAATTAAATTTTTATGTAAAAATTGGAGCACAACAGTTAGCTGCTAATGGTAGCCACCAGAGTGTATGCAGCTTCCGGTTTTGGCTACGCGTCACTCTCACTCCTTATTTGGTAATGTGTGTGTGTGTGTTAGACTGCGCTGGACTGCCGCATAGCCAAGACCGGAAGCAGCAGCCACTCTGGTGGCTACCATTAGCAGCTAACTTTTGCTCTGCGATATTTACATACAAATGGAATTATGGATTATAAATTAAATAATTTTTTTATACAGAGACGTTAAAAACCTATGGATTAACCGATTTAGCCGCGTTTTTTCTTTCTCGTTGTAATGCCATTGAACTCGTCTTTTGATCAGATTGACAGCTACGGTGAGACATCTCCCCTAGAAGCTAAGTAAAGGTACGTGTTGTGATGTCTGTGTTTGCTTCCCCTGTCCGAGTTCAGATCACTCAGTGATGATACTATATACCTAAATAATCTGTGGAACCTCAGCTTTAATCGGATATCTTGTAAGTGCAGCTTTGAAAAGTAATAATAAGGGTACTTTTATCTTGAGTTCTGCGCCAAAGTGCGTTAGTATTTTTCGCTCAGGGGTCATTTAGATGCTTCTTATGAGACTTGTGTTTTGGTAAAAATGGTTTGTATCGTCAGTTAGCTGAGATTATTTCCGTTAATCTGGTATAACACATTAATAGGTTCTTAAATATTACGATCTCCTGAGACACTGTCGTGAAAAAAAAAGTAAAGTACCCGCCGGGACTTTGGGGTTTAACAGGTTAAAAAAAACGCAATATATACCGCAGGGGGCGAAAAAACCGTGATGTCAGTTTTTTTCAATACCGTGCAGCCCTAATGTGTATTCACTCTCTGTCATAAACGGCTTGTTGGAGCTCCTGCTTCTGTCTTTAGGACGTTGTTGTGAGTTTGGACGGAGCAGATACAGGTTAGTTTAGCCTGATCTGATCGAATGGAAATCGCTCCATTCAGAGAACACGCATTTTAAAAGTTTTTCGCCTGCCATCTTGCGTGCTCACTTGTCAAAGCATGGTTTTTACTAACCATTATCAGTATTTAGTTACTTCGGCATCATTTTGAAACGTGTATTACAATTAAATCACGGTAAAATTTACATGTGTATTTACATTTACATTTTCACCGGCCATGCCGTCATGGCCGCCAGTGAAAATCCTACCCTGGTAGACTCACTTTTCCAGATGGACAGGTCGTTCAGATGTGTAGGCGGCCACCCCTGACAAACTGTCGTGTGACCCACACCATTATAACACAGACAACCGAGACAGTGACGGACGCCGTTGCTTGTTGCGACCCCCAGATGACGGCATCTACACAAACCCCCACCCTGCCGACCCTGGACCCTTGCCTTCACCCAGTCATTGCTGCAGAACCTGTCGCAGACAGTGGCGGCACCAGAGTATTTTTGTTGGGTAATCTGTGGTAGGGCTAACCCATACAGTGGTGGGGATCAAGTCAGTATTTGCGATGTAATTACATAGGCCTACACGCTATATCGCCACCCTTGACAATGAAACGCCACGCGTGAGGTTTCGAATATTTCCCTGTCTCAATCCAAATTGAACTGTATGAAATAAAAAGGCACATTTGTAGTAAATCAAAAGGGCGACTTGGAGCCAATCCTACAATTTCCCCACAAGTGAAAGAGTTTACATGCTGAAAACCCAACCCCTGCAGGGGGGTCTGGGGGGATTCTCCCCCAGGAGATTTTTTGAAATACTAACATAAAATACACATTCTGGTACTCTTGAGAAGAAAAATAAATACATCTATTACTACACGACATATTTAAAAAAATGAATGCCATTTTAGTTTTTTGTTACTTTGTTCTGAAAGCTGAACCTGCTGCTCCTCACTGAAGAGAGAAGAGGCTGTGTGAATTAGGCTACTTTACATTGTGGATAAGGGTGGATATAGCCCCCATTGTTCTGTGTGTCAAAATGAAAGACAGCCAACACATCAAACCGTGGGGTCTTATTTCATTACGTGTTGATTTCTATCAACACGTAATGTTGTATCGATGTATATAGAGATGTACTACAGCAAAAGTATTCTCCCTTGGGACTTCCTGCAACAACACCACGCCGTTATCTTGATTCTGATTGGCCAGAAGACATTATCAAAGATGTTCTAGTGAAAGATGATCACTACGTGCCAAAAGTTTTCACCTCAGGAGGGGGGAAGCAGGGAACCATCCAAGCTGCGTACAGTAAGGATGGGACGCTGTTGACCTCAACTGATGGAGTGTTAGGGCGTTGGAAGGAACACTTTGAGGAACTCCTGAACCCGACAACTCCGCCCTCTATGGTAGAGGCAGAGCTGGAGTATGACGGGGGATCAACACCAATCTCCCCGGGGGAGGTCACTGAGGTAGTAAAACAACCCGACAGTGGAAAAGCCCCGGGGGTGGATGAGATCCGCCCAGAAATTCTGAAGGCTCTAGGTGTTGAGGGACTGTCATGGTTGACACGTCTCATCAACGTTGCGTGGAAGTCGGAAACAGTACCGAAGGAGTGGCAGACCAGGGTGGTGGTTCCCCTTTTCAAAAAGGTGGATCAGAGGGTGTGTGCAAATTATAGAGGCATCACACTACTCAGCCTTCACGGGAAAGTTTACTCTAAGTTACTCGAAAGGAGGGTCAGGTCGATTGTCGAACCTCAGATTGAGGAGGAACAATGCGGATTCCATCCTGGTCGTGGAACGTTGGATCAGCTTTTTACTCTCGCAAGGATCCTGGAGGGGGCCTGGGAGTACGCTTATTTGTAGATTTGGAGAAGGCGTATGACCGGGTTCCCAGGGAGTTACTGTGGGAGGTGCTGCAGGAGTATGGGGTGAGGGGGTCTCGACTCAGGGCCATCCAATCTCTGTACTCCCAAAGCGAGAGCTGTGTCCGGGTCCTCTGCAGTAAGTCATACCTATTTCCGGTGAGGGTTGGCCTCCGCCAGGGCTGCGCTTTGTCACCAATCCTGTTTGTAATATTCATGGTTAGGATTTCGAGGCAAAGTCATGGGGGAGGGGGTCTGCAGTTCGGTGGACTAAGGATTGCACCACTGCTTTTTGCAGATGATGTGGTTCTAATGGCTTCATCGGTCTGCGACCTTCAGCACTCACTGGATCGGTTCGCATCCGAGTGTGAAGCAGCTGGGATGAGGATCAGCACCTCCAAATCTGAGGTCATGGTTCTCAGCAGGAAACCGATGGACTGTCCACTCCAAGTAGGGAATGAGTCCTTACCCCAAAAGAAGGAGTTCAAGTATCTCGGGGTCCTGTTCTCGAGTGAGGGAACAATGGAGCGAGAGATGGCCTGAAAAATCTGAGCAGCGGGAGCGTTACTGCAGTCGCTTTACCACACCTATGTTCATGAAGGATGGGTCATGACCGAAAGAACGAGATTGCGGATACAAGCGGCCGAGATGGGTTTTCTCCGCAGGGTGGCTGCCGTCTCCCTTAGGGATAAGGTGAGAAGTTCAGTCATCCGAGAGGGACTCTGAGTTGAAACGCTCCTCCTTGGCGTCGAGAGGAGCCAGTTGAGGTGGTTCGGGCACCTAGTAAGGATGCCACCTGGGCGCCTCCCTAGGGAGGTGTTCCAGGCACGTCCAGCTGGGAGGAGACCGAGGGGTAGACCAAGGACCAGGTGGAGGGATTATATCTCTTTGCTGACCTGGGAGCGCCTTGGAATCCCCCAGTCAGAGCTGGTTGATGTGGCCAGGGAAAGGAAAGTATGGGGCTCTCCTTTGAGAACCAGGGCAAAAAAGTTATGTGCACCCCTGCTTATAAGATTCCATTCTACTATAAACTGTGTAATTTAACAATCATATTATATTATTAGATGCAAGCCAAACCATAACAATTAAATAAAGTAGTTTTTTCTGGGTTTATAACTTTCTTTCTTTTTTATTAGCCACTTATAAATGCTTTCACAAACTAACTGCTTCAACAAATACTGCAACAGGATCCTATGTCCCCATGCACTGAAATATGTTAATGACAAACATCATGGTGTATGACGATAGCATGTAAATAATGCATCTCTGGAGGAATCTGGCATGAATCAAAGAGATGTGAACTGGGCCAAACACTTCAGATAAGGGAAGAACATCTCAGAGATGTTGTTCATCATCAAGTGAACTGAAATCTGATGAACACATTCTTAGGTGAGGGGAGAGCTATTTTATTCTAAAGGTTATATATGTATTGAATACAGTATAAATAGTATGTTCAAATGGGTGGATACCAAGGGTATATAATTGTATATTTACAAATGTGAGGTTTTACTTTAATTATCCAGCATTTACTTATTTACAGTACCCTGCTCTTTAGCATGTTGTATTCTTATTCCTTTTCAATTGTCATTGTGTTTTTTTGAGGATGTTCTTTTTTTGTGTACACAGATTTAATGTTGTTTTTTTTCTTACAGGTTTGCGAGAGAGGTTTGCTTAATAGTGCATATTTGCAGAATGCATAATCTGACTGAATTAACAGGCAATGCAACGTCACACACAAGCCACTCTGTGATCATCAAGGTGTGTGTGGTCATCCCTTTCTTCTGCGTCTTCCTCTCTTGCATTGTTGTCATGCTGTGCATCTTTGCAACTAACAGGCACTTCCTGGACACCTCCCGTTATATCCTGTTTGCCTACATGCTGATTAACGACACTCTCCAGCTCTTGTCCTCTGTGATCCTTTTCCTTTTGGTCATGTGTCTGGTAACATTTCCTACTGTCTACTGTGTTCCTCTGCTGTTACTTTCCACTTCCACATTCATGAACACAACTTTAATCCTGGCCACTATGTCACTGGAGCGTTATGTGGCGATCATCTACCCACTGCAGCGCCCAGCAGCCTGGCGCTCTGACCGTATCTGGATCATAATTCTGTCCATTTGGTTTCTCAGCTTTATTTTCCCTATGATTGAATACTCTATTGGGGAAAGAGATCCTGCTGTGGATATCCTCTCCACACCTGTGCTCTGCAAACCCATTTATATCAACTCATCTCCAATCCAGGCATTGTTCCAAGCTGCTGTTAATATTCTCTTCTTTGTAGTAGTATCTGTTGTTATCCTCTTTACATACATAACAATCCTGCTGAAAACAAGAAAGATGAGACAGGATAAGGTTTCTGCCAGCAAAGCCAAGCACACTGTGCTGCTGCACGGCTTTCAGCTGCTCCTGTGCATGTTGGCCTTCACTCTTCCCATCACTGAAAGTATCATGGCGCCACATGTCAGCTGGCCACGAGAGGATATCGCCTTTTTTATTTATTTCTGTTTCATCCTTATACCACGCTTTCTCAGCCCACTAATCTACGGCTTTAGAGATCAGACGCTCAGGGACTGCTTTGGGAAAACCTTTCTCTGCTGCTCAAACAAAGCCAACCCAGTGTAAGGGGCAGGCTGCAGAACAATTTACCTGTTTCTTGAGCTGGCTTATTTAGTTTTGAGTTCTCAAATGTAATGCACAAATGTAAAAATATGTATTTGTGATGTTTAAACAGGGTTTCTGCAGGTTTTTGGATCATCATCATTGGGAAAAGTTCAATAAAAAGAGTTTTAAATCCTATTTAAAAGTCTTCTATTCAATTAACCAATATAGTAATTAACAATACTTTTGAGAAGTTGTGCAAGTGCTGATTTTTTCAGAAACTTCAATACATTTGAATGAATTACTCTTTTTTAAGTCTGATAAATCCATTCATCCATTTTATACCAATGTTCTGTATCCAAGTCACATTCATTTAATTAATTATAAGAAATTATTTTACACAAATCTGGGAAATTAACCTCTGGTAACCTCTAAAAAGCAAACATTGCAGAAACCTTGGCACTTTGCTGACAAGATCAACAGCTGGTTATAGATTGACTGCTGTTAAACATAAACCAGGCACTGACTGTTTTTGTGCCAGCTGCATCAGAAAAGAGAATTAAATTGACTGAATTTTAGATATCTTACATAAAGTCTGGCATCTGCTGCTGGTATTCAATCTCTTATCTTTCATGAGCATGCAGCACTGAGCATGCAGGACTGTGTGTGTGGTTGGTTGCATGTTAGCTAATGGTTCAGGCCTTCTGTAGGGAGTAAACTGTTATACAGATATTTAAAGTAATACAATCACAAAAATATAACATTTCCGTGCAGAATAGTACACTGCATGAAGAAATCAGAGTCATGTCGCAGGTGAAAAACTTTAGTTTGAATACATACTGTATACAAATAAGAAAAATGTCATTGTGTATCAGCCCTCATGTATATTTCAAACATATTTCCATGGTGGTGACATTATCCATATCAAAATAATAGGAAATACAAAGTTTAACCCTGAAAACTGCTTTCCCAAATGTGCAAATTACACCTGAATGTGTCATTAAAGTATGTTAAAATAATGTTTTGTACTAACTCAATATTTTCATTCCATAAGAAAATAATAAATAATGTATTAAGATATTTGCATTGTGGTGCATACATATCACTAGGTTTATAATAATATGCTATGAGAAAACTAAATCCATTTTTTGTAGGAAAATATGAAAGCGGTCACTTGTAAATCCTTTGTATTGGCCTATGTATTTGTGACTTTGGAGTACACACCATATACATTTCATTTAAAACTATTTATATATATATATTAATAATATGTTATGATTATTAAAAAATATTCACCACAATGAATTCATCTGCAGCTTGTTAATGGCAGTTTGGTTGTTATGCATGTCATTCACCTGCAGGTGTCGCACTGACTCCAAACTTAATATCTAATGCATTAAAGGTCCCATGTCATGGCCATTTCTACTGATCATAATTCCATTGTTGAGGTATACTAGAATATATTTATATTGTGCAATTTTCTAAACTCACATTGGTTTCTCATACAGCATCTCTGTATAGTATGTGTATTCACTCTCTGTCATAAACGGCTTGTTGGAGCTCCTGCTTCTGTCTTTAGGACGTTGTTGTGAGTTTGGACGGAGCAGATACAGGTTAGTTTAGCCTGATCTGATCGAATGGAGATCGCTCCATTCAGAGAACACGCATTTTAAAAGTTTTTCTCCTGCCATCTTGCGTGCTCACTTGTCAAAGCATGGTTTTTACTAACCGTTATCAGTATTTAGTTACTTCGGCATCATTTTGAAACGTGTATTATAATTAAATCACGGTAAAATGTACATGTGTATTTACATTTAAATTTAAATTTTCACCGGCCATGCCGTCATGGCCGCCGGTGAAAATCCTACCCTGGTACACTCACTTTTCCAGATGGACAGGTCGTTCAGATGTGTAGGCGGCCACCCCAGACAAGCTGTCGTGTGACCCACACCATTATAACGGCCCGTCTACACTACAGTAGGGGTGTTGAAAATAATCATTTCTACGATGCATTGCGATGCAGACGTGGACGATTCGGTCTCGATGCAGTGACGGAAGATAATCGGTTATAGCGTAGTAACGTTGCTTCCTGATTTTCCGGCCGCGGCTTTACTATAACGTTTTTTTTTTCTGTCACTTTAATATTAAATCGGTCGGTGACGCAGAGATCAGGGAACAGACGTGACAGCGGCACAGCAACCCCAAACACGGAGCAGTCTGCTTTATCCACCAACCCAAGAACACCAGTCCAGAACCAACAGCAGAAGGACACGCTCTGAATCACTCCGTGTCGCTGCGGCACAGGGATTTATGTTTTTCAAAAATAATCGCGTTACAATCATGTCAGGTTTTTGGTGGATTTAATTAAGTCTTGGATTGCAAAGTATGAATGTCCTCTAGCAATTTTCAGACGATATATACGTGTGTAAAGTTTGTGAAGGCAGGAGGAAAAAAGCTTCCGCGATCACCGTCTCCTCTCCATGAGTGACAGGCTGATAGTGACCCGATAGAAACTTTATTATTCACTTAATCACTGAGATATGATGAAGCTAATTTAATCTCATACATTCATGGGATTTATGTAACAGTAAGACAGAGAATGTAAGTGTGCACCCACATGCACTATTTTTGTTTGTATATGCTGTTGTAAATACTCCTGTTGTCTGCTGTGTTCAGACTCAAGTCCTGTGTGTGATGCCACATTCAGGACATTCAGTGTCCTTTTTTTAACAGAAGGCCGTTGCTAGAAGCTGCAGCTAGACTGCAGAAGCATTATTTTTTTGTTTTTGAGGATGGAACAACTTCACACACAGATATAGGGAGGCTAGACCTATACAATTCATTTATTTTGGTTTATAAATGAATGTCAAGACATTTATGTTATTGATTTCTGAAGCACTTTCTAAATAATAAAAAGAGAGTTCATATGTATTTACTGCATGTATGCATTGATGAAAAATAAGCCATGTGCAGTAATATAGAAAATTGAGGATGCAACGCATTGGTATGAATCGTGATGCATCGGGATATCGAATTGAATCGAATCGTTGACAAGATAATCGTAATCGAATCGAAACGTGAGACCAGAGAAGATGCACAGCCCTACACTACAGGCATAAAAAAATCTTGAAGCTTGGCGTGTCTGAGGCTTGGCGATTTCTCCAAGGCGACCAACAACCAATCAGGAATCTCCCGCCCGCCCCCGGCATACAAAGCAATAGCAATGTTAAAACGAAGTAAACTGGATATAAAATCCCCAAACAGGCGAAAACCTACCAGTTTCATCCACTGTCTCTGCCACCTCCCTCCATGCCTCGCTCCTCCGGTTTGTATCCCGGTAGATCAACAGAGACTGATCATACAGCACCGGGTGATTCACTACCGCTATAATGAATTTTCCCTCAATTTTTTTGAATATGAGGAAATTACCTGCGTAGTCTCTCCCAGCATACACGCGGTTTGATTGGCTAGCGCTTGTACTGTCAGATTTGCATACGCAGGATTTGATTGGCTGATGCCAAGCATCGAGCCTCAACAGTTGAATATTGTTCAACTTTTGATGCCGATAGATGCTCGTGATGCTAGCAAAGCCATGCTCCCCACAATGCAGTTCGGCGAAGTTTTAAAATCTTCTACGTCACCCCATTCAAATGAATGGGCGAAGTGTTGAAAGCATTTTTCTATGCCTGTAGTGTAGACGGGCCGTAACACAGACAACCGAGACAGTGACCGACGCCGTTGCTTGTTGCGACCCCCAGATGACGGCACCTACACAAACCCCCACCCTGCCGACCCTGGACCCTTGCCTTCACCCAGTCATTGCTGCAGAACCTGTCGCAGACAGTGGCGGCGCCAGAGTATTTTTGTTGGGTAATCTGTGGGAGGGCTAACCCATACAGTGGTGGGGCTCAAGTCAGTATTTGCGACGTAATTACATACACGCTATATCGCCCCCCTTGACAGTGAAACGCCACGCGTGAGATTTAGATTATTTCCCTGTCTCAATCCAAATTGAACTGTATGAAATAAAAAGGCACATTTGTAGTCAATCAAAAGGGCGACCTGGAGCCAATCCTACAATTTCCCCATAGGTGAAAGAGTTGACATGCTGAAAACCCAACCCCTGCAGGGGGGTCTGGGGGGATTCACCCCAGGAGGTCTTTTTGAAATACTAACATAAAATACACATTCTGGTACTCTCTTGAGAAGAAAAATAAATAAATCTATTACTACACGACATATTTAAAAAAATGAATGCCATTTTTGTTTTTTGTTACTTTGTTCTGAAAGCTGAACCTGCTGCTCCTCACAGAGACAAGAGGAGAGGCTGTGTGAATTACTTTACATTGTGGATAGCCCCCATTGTTCTGTGTGTCAAAATGAAAGACAGCCCACACACCTATCAATCATCAAACCGTGGGGTCTTATTTCATTACGTGTTGATTTCTATCAACGCGGGACTTCCTGCAACAACACCACGCCGTTATCGTGATTCTGATTGGCCAGAAGACATTATCAAAGATGTTCTATTGAGAAGACGCTCACTACGTGACAAACGTTTTCAAAACCGTTTCTAGTCTTCGGTATTTCCAGACAAGTGGCTACTGAAATCAATCTTACTAACTGCTGTCTGTGCAATTTACTCCGCGCGAGTTGGCGGACTTTATTTTGCTTACCTTAACATCATTTTTCATGGTGGGGCTAAGCCATTTCTTGGTATGGCTGTGTAGCCTACCCCAGCCATACCCTGGCGCCGCCACTGACCGCAAATACCTCATTCCTTCAGTCTACTTGGATCCTAAATGCTTCTCGTTTTGCGCTGTCCCCCGTTCAAATGAAATCGCCGCAAATCATATTTCCACGCACGTTCCAGGGGAGGGGTTACAAGGCTCGCGTCTTGTGCTGCATTCACCTGCACTCGGATATTAGAGATTTTCTCTCATAAATGTCCGATGAGCCACAACTTTTTTTTCAAAACAAAGCTGCCAACTGGGGTGGCAGCTGCCACCCTGTAGAACCACCAC